TTTTGCGGGTTCATTTCTGACCTCAGTCCTCAACACTGTTTGTTTCAAAATCTTCCCAACAATGGGGTTTCAAGGAAATCACTGCTGGCCTTGGCACGGATTCCTGGGCAGTCAAGATGACAAAGCCAGCAATTAATTGAGCGTGGACAGTGATCCTGGCCATTATCTTAAGCAACAGTGAGCGAGCCGAGCTGAAGATGCTAAACTACTTGCCAGCCACAGCATTTGCCACCGCCGATGCAGCCTGTGATTTCTCAGTCATCGGGGCCTCACCTTCCCAAGCTGACCGTGGGCTCCTGATCGGCCAGGACTCTCTCTTAGCCCCAAGATTCCTGAGCCTCTTGTCCACCCCAAAACCCCATCTGAGAGCCAGGAAGGGGGTCAGGGCCTCAGGGCATCTGTCCTTGCTCTGCTTTGAGGAGACTGCTGGGAAGAGAAGCCAGTCAGGCTGGCTCTGCTCTGCTGGACGGGAGAAGGATGCCACCCTGCTTGCTCTGGGTATCAGGATGCAGAGTGGGTTCCCGGCACCAGCACACAGCAGGGGGCACCCCCTGAACCACACTGTGATTCACAGGAGAGGATGAATGTGAGGGCTGTGACAAGGCCATTGCTAAAGTAGTGCCTATTGCTTGGTGACACAGAGCTTGCCCCGCTGGCTCGGCTCACGTGGCTTGACTCTTGAAGCTGAGACATGAATAATCCAGCAGCACTGGGTCTCGAATTCACAGCTGCTGAGGGCTCAATGACCCATGAGGCCACCCTTCCCTACAGTCCGCGGTGGCTCTGCATGGGGAGTGAGTGCCCGCCCTCACCCCAGCTTTTGGGGCTCAGCTCCTTGCCACTCCTCCTGGCTTCAGAGCCATGGTCTCCTCCTGCTCACAGGCATCCTGTGCTTTCCCTTCCCCAGGACATTTGCATGTGCTCTCCCCCTCCTTTCACACTCCCCAACTGCTTGATGATGAGTGTCACTGCCTCCTTTGGGTCTCTGCTCAGTGACAGCAAGGACTTCCTCTCCTCAAGCTAAGCTTACTTCCCCTTAGAGCTTTTAAACACTTGTTCATCGGGAGAAGAAAAGTTTCAAAGAGCTGTGTGATTCCAACCAGGGTGACTTATTCACAGCTGAGGGGCAGAGTGACGCACATTCCCTTCCCTTTTCCTCATTTTGGCTCCCGACTGAAATCTGGGACTGTGCACAGTCGCTGACTATGTCTTTGATGTGAAGCTCTCCTTACATCACGTCGTGGGCTTGCTGGCAGCCACCGTTCCGTGACAGTGACCAGCAGAGTCAGTGCTCACCGCTGCCGGCCTTCCTCCTGCGGAGCCCCCCTATTTCCTTCTCAGTGGCCCGCTCCACTTCTCTACTCCTGACCTGTCACTGAGGACCAGACCGTCGGCACCCTTAGGGAATGTGGCGAGGCTCACAATTCTTTGAAGTGCTGCACCAGGCTGTGACTCTGAAACCAGCGTTCAGTACTTCACACTCCAGAAGCTCATGGGTCCAGGGTGCTCCCGAGCGGGTCCCCAAGTCATCCAGGCGAGTCCCTAACAGGTGCTTTCCCGGGGAGCTGAGTGGGCTGAGGACGAAGCTGGAGGCAGCAACAGCGGCAGCCAGCTCGTGGCCCTGAGGCCAGGCCTGCAGCTCTGGCTGCTCCTGGGTGGGACCTGGGCTCAGAGCCGGAAGCTTTGAACACCATGGGGTGAGGCCACAGCCTTCCGGACCCCGAAGCTGCCTGTCCAGGCGGGAGGGCAGGTCGGATGACAGCTCCGGAGTGCGTGGAGAATTAACTAATAAATGATTGGGAGGCGCTCGGCAAATGTAAAGTGCTATATAAATGCTTAATAGTAACAACCGCCCTGTCAGGCATCCAGGGCTGCTCCTGAGCACTGTGGTCCCTGCGTAATGAGACTGAACCCTGCAAAGTGCTTTACAAATAGTAAATAATTCATCCTCAGGGCGCCCCAGGGAAGCCAGAAAGTACTCCTCCTGCTTAGAGGAGCAGAGAGCCAATATTTGCTGGGGCTGCTCAGCCAGGAGTCCTTGCAGAGCCGAATTTGGATCCTCAGGGCCCTGTGGGTCCAGTCAGGAGGCCTGGGCCCGGGCTGGGAGGGGGCCTGGACCCACTGAGATCTCAATGGTCGGATTCAGGGAGCTGAGGGCCGGGGCTGGGAAGAGAGAAAGGCCCGAGCAAATGAATAAAGGAACCGGAGATGACTTTCTGCTGCCCCTGTCCTTGGCCTTTGAGGAGGCTGGATGCTTCCAGGGCCGTGAGACTGCAGCAGCCACGGGGCCATTACAGAATGGGGAGCACTGGAGGGGAAGGATTTGCACTCAAGCTCCTGTAGCTAGGGTACAGTGTTGTCCTCCAACTCAGGGACAGGCCTGCAGCACCGGTCTAGACATGCACCCCTGTCTCTCAGGGCTCACAGCCTGGCTTTAGCCAGGGAAACAGCTCAGGGCAGTGGGAGAGGTTGGGGCCCCCTGGCCGGGCAGGAAAGTCCTCCAGAGAGACTGCTGCCAATCAGACCTCTAGACCTGTGGACAGGGGTGTCCAGCACAAGGTGGCCAGGTGGGAGAGGGTGGGCCAGAGCCCTCACAGGCCACAGGGCCTTAGGGGCATCTCAGGCACCTTGTCAGCTGTGCCGCCCACTGGGTCACTGTTCCAAGCCCGTTGCAGCCAGGTTCAGAGGAAAGTACAATGTGGAAGGAACAGGGTGGAGCCCACACAACGACCCTGTCATTGAGCAGCAGTTAGGAGAGGAGGGGAAAGATCTTTCCCGGGTCCAGTACAGGGGGAGGTGGAAACCTGTTTTCACAGTCCCAGGGGCCAGTTGCATGTGTTCGCATAAGTGTCCGGCAGGTAACGGATTCAGCTGGGGACAGGGGACAGAACAGTGAACTTGCACAAGGACCAGCTACCAGGACACAGATGGAGCAACAGGACTTGCACCAAAAGCTGATCACTGGGCTTCTAAGGTGGAGTCAGAGTTTCCACAGTGGCACCCGAGGAAGCCGGGAAGGAGATGACACGGGAAAGGAACTCATTTCCAGGAAACGGACTGGTATGGAGGAGCCTGGGGAAGGGGCTGCTGGGAAGGGCATGATGCCAGAGGTCTCCTCAAGCTTCTCTCCACGGCACAGCCAAGCGGTTAGAAAATAAGGGATGTGGAATTTATGAGAATTGTATTGAATAAGAGTGAATCAACAGGCAGAATTCCGGCTGCATGCCCTGCAGGAAACACGCCTCCTTCCCAAGCATCCTGCAGTTTTTACAAAGAAACCATAAAAGCCTGAAAAACAGAAATCAGTCATGCAAGGTTGACAATGCAAGTGCAAACAGAAGGTAATGATGCGATTTAAATGCCCGAGTGGAATTTTTTAAAAGTTGATGGGATGAATTCTTAACTAACCTTCGAGTCATAGAGGTCAGATTTACCATTAGATATTTTGGGTAGAAAAAAAACAAAAATATTGGATTTTGAGGACTACGGAACGTGAGCCACAGTGGAGGCAGAGAAGAGTTTGTGACCCGAAGTGTGTGAAGCTCGCAGGGAAAAAGCAAAGGAAAGCCTAAAGAGAATAGGCAGGAGGAAACAAGGGAGCAAACAGCAGAATTAACCCCACAGCAAAGCAAGTCAGCGTGGGGGCTGGGGATTTAGCCCAGCGGCATAAGCACCTGCCTTGCATGCAGGCGGTCGTGAGTTCGATCCCCAGTACTGGAAATAAAAAATAAAAAATAAAAAAATAAAAAGCAAGTCAGCAGAAAAGGCTGTACCTCAGGAGGAATTGGTAAATCCTCTTCCAGCCGGCCCTCCTCGTGGGGGCACAGAGTCGGGTGAAAAACAGTAAAATGAAGAAATCTTTGTGCAGCTAATCAAGAAAGGGAGAGACACACAAATAAACATGAAAAGAGGTGTAATCAAGTCAGTTACAAAGATTATTATAAAACCTCATGTGGAAATTTACCCCCCAAAGTGCAAACATGAAATCAACCGGGATTTTAGGAAAAGAAAATTGCAGCAAAGATTCCAAATGGCTTTACACAACCAGAAAGCTGGAGGGACAACACCCACGTTGTTCGTTACAGTAACTTTTCAAGGGTGCACTGTAGCCAAATGGCCAAACCCAGTGAGTGTCCCCTTTTGCTAGGAATAATGAATTCTGAGATCAAAACCGCTGGAGAATGAAGAACACAGCAAATCCCCCTCACTCGGGGTGAAGTGACATTCGCTGATTCCAAAACGTGACCAAGACAGCCTCAGGGACGTGAAGCCCCAGGTGTGAAGGTGACTAAGAATATGTAAACAAGAGGTAGGGCCAGCTTTGCGCTGTGATCCTGTGTGGGGAGGTGAGTGGGACCCTGGGCTCCGGTTGTCTGGGCTGCTGCTACCACCTTAGAGGAAGATTAAATATTAGGAAGTCTAGTAACATACCTAGGGAGTGGAGTATGAGGGATATGTCAACAGATACTCAATGCAATGAAACCAAACACAAGACTGATTTTCTTAAAATTTGAAGGTTGAATGGTATGTTCCAGAACGGCAAAAGACAACCTCAAGCCAAAATAAAGAATTAATTCATTAAGACACAGCTTTATCAGCTTTAAAAGAGTTGTGCGTGCCTCTCATCCTGGCTACTCAGGAGGCTGAGATAGGAGGATCTCTTGAACCCCAAGAGTTTCAGGGCAGCCCAGGCAATATAATAAGACCCTGTCTCAAAAAAGAAGAAAGGGGGCTGGGGATTTAGCTCAGCGGCATAAGCGCCTGCCTTGCAAGCAGGCGGTCGTGAGTTCGATCCCCGGTACCGATAAAAAAAAAAAATTTAAAAAAAAGAAGAAAGAAAGGAAAAAAGGGAGGGGGGAAGAAAAGAAAGAAGGAGAGAAAGAGAAAGAAGGAAAGGACGATGGAGGGATGGCGGGAAGAAGGAGAGAGAGAGAGAGAGACACAAAAGCCATGACCAGCAGGGTTGGTGACCACTGCGTGCTCCGGCTGGTGAAAAAAGTTATGGGGACATGAACTAGGCCAGTTCCAGGAAAAGAGCTAAAGTATTATTCACAGACAACACCAGCGTAGATTTTTAAGTCTCAAGAAAGTTGACCCAAACCTTGTTCAAATCAGGGAGCTAACTAAGTCCAAGAGAAACAGAGATACGTCAAAAAGATCACCCGGCACCAGCAATCATTATTTCAAAGGCCTGTAGTGAAAGGACTTCTCCACAATCGACTCTTAAAGTATAAAATAGCCACGAATAATTATGCAATCAAAAAACTGACAAAAGTTTATATATAAAGTAATATGTTAATAAATGGCAAAAAAGAAATTGCAAGTATATTGCAAAGTTGCCAAGGGCCTCATAAATAGGGACAAATAAATGAATAAATGAATAAATGTTCGTCGCTTTCCAATTAAACCGTTAACACAACCTCTGTCAAATACCAGTGGAATATTTTAATGAAACAAATATTCACAAAATAACTCAAAACTTTGAAAAAAAAGAAGCAAGTGAGAAACATTGGAGGCATTTTTTGAAGCGAGGGGACTTCTTGTGCCACATTTTAAAGTATATTCTAAAGTTCCAACAATTAAGTGTTTTATTGCGGAAGAATCTGCAAACAGATCGATGGAGCAGACTAAAGAGGCCCAGAGAAATGTCAAACTGTGTGAGAAGGAGGATGGTGGTGAAGGGAACATCGCGCCCTGGGGAAAGGGGACAATTAGTCATCAGATGGTAAGCTTGTTTACAAAGGGAGCCTCAGAAAAGGGTGTGGACACCTATCAGCCATTACCGAGAGGGGATGGGGAGCTAATTCAAAAATCAGCAGTAAAAATACCACAAAGGGAACACGGGTGGGCGAAAAGGCACAGCCTATGCATGACGGCCATACACAGCTTATGTAAAAGTGTCACATTTGAAAATAGAAGGGCAGGCCCCAGGCTGGGGTGCAGGTTAGTGGTACGGGGTGACGGAGCAGCCTTGAGGGCTGGGCTCCATCCTCAACACCAAAAATATATGTATTGGACTTAAACAGACGAAAGGAGAGAGCAATTTCTGTTTTTGTTTTCTGCATTGAATGCGACGACTCCCTACTATGGACACAAAAAGGAACCTCAGATGGGTGCGTAAAACATGCAGATTCCCCGGAAACAGCTTTGTAGTTTATATGAGGAGCATCAAACATTATCCATCTTTAACTTAGTAATTCCGTTTCTGCAAATCTACACCCCAGAAAGAACAGGTCACAAGAAGACCGAAAGACACATGTGTGTGAAAAGCCAGAACAATATTATCTTTTCCCCAAGTCTCCCTATAATTAATTACTTAATAAGTTCTTTGGCTAAGTTCACGTATTTTAGTTAAGATTCATTTTTTAACCTTTTATTTGAAGATGATGGAGACGCAGGAGTGTGCAGTCCTGAGAGATAATGCAGAGCAATCCCTGTGCCCTGTGCTCCATTTCCGCAAAGTGTGACAGCCTGCGTAGCCATAGTGCAATCCCAGACCGCGGAATGGATGTGGCACCACAGGCGTGTCACGGCTGGGCATATGCATGCCCACGTTGGTGCAGTTTCATCACATGTGGAGGGTAGGGGTCCCCCACCCCAGCACAGCAAAGAAACCACGGGTTCCCTTGTGTTGGCACAGCTGGCTCTGCCTGCCTTGACCCCACCCAAGCCTAGGTGGTCAGTGACCTGCAATTCACCTCCCTCATTGTGACATTTCTGAGATGTGGGAGGCATCAGACAGGGTGGGACCCTTGAGGTTTGCTTTCTCAATCCCCCAAAGTCCCTCAGTGCCTCCCAAGTTGTCACATGTAAGCTTTGTCTTTTCATCACTGAACAGGATCTTGGTGTTTAGGTAGGAGCCTAGCAAATCTAGGATAGACAGGAACAGAAACTGACTCAAATTCCAGCATGTGGCAGACTCATCAGGGCAAGTCATCACCATGCAGGGTCCTAGGTGTGTCTCAGAGAAGAGTCTGTCACTGTGAGCCAGGCAAGTCTTCAGGAGAATGTTCTAGGATTGCCCTCTGAGAAGCAGGGCTCATGTACCTTGAAGACCTTGGGACAACCCCGCTATACCACTGACCCAAACTCTGACCCAGCTAAGGAGGAGTTTCAGGTGGTTTCCAAAAAACAGCAGACTCTCTTGTTGGAAAAATCAACCTCAGTGTTCATGGGTCACCATCCTGTAGGGCAGGTGTCCCAGCCGTGTACTGATCTGTGGCCTGTTAGGAACCAAGGCCACGTAGCAGCAGGTGAGTGGTAGACAGGTGAGCAAAGCTTCATCTGTAATCATGGCCACTTCTAAGCGCACTTACGTCTCCGCCTCACAGCAGCGTAGATTCTCATAGGAGCTTGAACCTATTAGGCTGTGCCCTCAGGGAATCTAGATCGCCTGCTCCTTGTGAGAATCTAATGCCCGATGATCTGAAGTGGAGCTGAGGCAGTGATGGTACCACTGGGGAGCAGCTGCAAATACAGATGAACACTGACAGAGAGGTTTCAATGCACAGAGAGCACAGTGGATCCGTTGTTTTCAGATGAGGGCAAAACTCTAACAGTAAGTGGCAAGGAACAAGCTGCATCTCATGGCAGACTGTGAGTCAGAACCCCACCTTTATTTTACTTTAATTCACCCTTTATTTTACTTACCTATCTGCACCTCTTTCCCGTACTGTGCACTTACCTCCGTCACTGTTTCTGTGAGCCCACAACTTTAGCCTAGGCAAAATGACTGAAAAGCCAAACGTCCCTGGAGAGAGTCTCTAAAAACAGGCAAAGATCCGATCATGAGGCAGCAGGACAGCAGCTGTCTAAGACAACTGCACTTAGAAACAAACACCAGGAGTCCTACTTACAAGTCTTTTGCACAGGCAGCTCCCATCCTCTCAGCCCGTTTGGTATAACACGTGGAGACCAGCAATCCGACCGAGCCATGAAAACTTCAAAACTGCTTCACCACATGGAGTCCAAGCATCCTGCATTAAAAGAGAAGGCTTTGGAATTTTAAAAACATCATAACAGTGCAGAACAGAAGCTCGCTAGTGGTTACCAAAAATGCTAAAGCTGCTAACCCCTTTACCATCGGTGAGGAGTGGATCCTACCTGATGCTAGGGACAGCTGTTATAAACTTGTAGGGAGGCTGCTGTTCAAAAGGTGGCACGTGTTCCTCTGTCAGCCGGCACCTTAACTAGATGCACTCATAAACTAGTGTAGAATGCGGAAGCACTGTTTTTAGGGTTAATGGGTCACAGTGGTGCAAAGTCCAGGTTGACAAAGCTACCACTGTTGACAACAAGGCAACAATGCTTGGCTTTTTTGTTTGTTTGTTTTGTTTTTAACTATAGTTTCCAGGAGGATGTGCATGAAGATTGATCCCTTTTGTTACAACCAATACCACAGCTGCAAAACTCTTCAAGTCTTTGAATGATTACATTCCAGGAAAGCTGAACTGGGTATTTTGTGTTGGTGTAGTCATGGACAGTCCAGATGCCATGACTGCACAGCTGTTTGCTCTCTATACTTGTGTCAAGAGGTTGCTGCTGAATGTGAGTCTGTGTAACATGATCTACAGACAAAGGACAGCTAGACAAAAACTGTCACTTGACCTTAATGTTTTGCAGGAAGACGTGTTTAAAACTATCAGCCATATTAAAGTACATGCGCTTAATTTAGAACATAAGACTGGGTTCAGTGGGCCATCCCTTTTCTGTTGTAAGTTTGTACTTTAATGTAATAGTAGCCAACTGTGTGTTTGGTATTTTCCCCTAAGGGAAACTGGAAGCAATCTATACGTTTCCCACTTGGTGTGATGTGTGGCAAGGTAAGTGCATACAGGCAAAGGTGATACCCATCTTTATGCTTAGTCTAACTGGTTTTCTATCTGTTTATCCACGCATCACAGAGGGTCCAATAGACCCACAACACTCCAGAATTTGCTTTTTAAAACTATTCTTGATTTTTTGATAGAAGTAGCCCAATTCAGTAAAACAGCAATGGAAAACAAGATTTGTAAGTTTTTATAGGAGATCAAAAGTGAATCATCAGATTATTCATGGATGATGATGAAGATGATTCAGGATGATAAAAATGTATGCTTTCTTAACTGAAGAGTGGTGTGGGTGGCTGCTGCTGCTGCTGGGTTGATTTTGATGTTGTTCATGTGAGCCAAAGTTCCGGGAACAGTAAAAAGAAGCAAGAATTGACTGGCACAGGGGAACGCAGACCTCCCTTGATTCGGATGAGGAAGAAAACAGGAATGTGAACACATATTTGACTAGCTGAAATGCTGTGAAGTAGCCACACAGCCAGATGGCACGATCCAGTGTTAGAACTAGGTCCGAAAATATGGTGAGGGTCTTGGAAAGAGTGAAAGGTATTGGACAGAAGGCCAACACTGCCATTCAGGGTTGGGAATTGTAGAAGACAAATGGTACAAGATGCTGTGACATATACAAAGATAGTAAGCTGAATGATGAGCACAGACTAGTCACCCCATCTCCCAAACTAATTGGAACGTGACATTCAATGATTGGTTGACAAGTTTCCAGCTGATGTTCCATTTGCTAACAGAACACAAGTTGACCAGTGCAGGCATTAGATACAGGAACAAAGGAGTCTTTCCAAATGCTGTGATTTCAAAACAGAGAACTGTGTAGTACAATCTTTGAATTTTAGGAAGATGTAACATTGGCTTCCTATGTGTCAAAAGCAAACTGATACTGCTGATACTGCTGATGTCACATTTCACCGTGATGCAAATACTGATAGAGAAACCCCAACAAAACGGAATCCTGAGATGGAGACTTTCAACAACAAAACAAACATGGGGTCGACATTCTTGATGGATTATGCAGCATCTAGGACATCTAGGACCTGAAACACAAAGCATTGGCCAATGGCTGCGTTTCACTCAATCCCAAACATAAATAGTTTGGCAGTTTACAAAAAAAATGACAAGTGCAAAGTGTCACTGAGAAATTTTCTTAGAAGATTGGAACAGGAGCTCATAAGAGATCATTTACAGCAGAGAAAAACCAAAATGTTTCTGCTCAGGGAACTATGCAAAAAATATTGTAGAGCACGCCCATGAGCTGACAGATGGACAGGCAGGCACAGCAGCTCAAAAACCACAGCATCTACTATGACCAAAGGAAAAGAAAAAAAGATGTCAACTCTGCCATATAGGAAAGGACAGGAAAATAGAACATACGTGCTATCACGTTTGCACAAGTAAGCTGCACTTGTGTGGAACACGCCGTTGTCCTGTGTGAAGACTGCGTGGGAGAGACAGTTGAGGCAAAGCTTATTTTTGTTTGGGTTTACACTGCTGTTCCCACAGAATTTTATTTTTGATGTAACCTTTTAGGTTTTGTAAGCAAATAAACAGCTGATGTGAAAATGCTGATCTCTATTCTAAGCACTCATTACATATTTGATCTTTTATTTGACTGATGTCTTACTTCCCTGCTGAGTTCATATTATACAATATAATAGGAACCTCCTGACAAAACAGTGAGACCACCAAGATGCTGTTTGTCCTACAAAAAGTCCAGGAAAGCAAAAGACACAAGCTGTCAGTGAGAGCGACACGTGTGTGTGGAACCTGGCGCTGTCGTGCGTGTAGACATGAGATGAAATAGAGATTATGTTTTGCAGAGTACTCTTGCTATGATCATTGTATTCATATAAGAATTTATTTCTGATGTTCTTTTTTAGACTTTGTATGTCAAAGACCAGTTGATGCTGAAAAGTTTAGTGTTTTTTATAAGCACTCAATCAATATTAAAAATTCAGTACTTTATTGTTGTGATCTTTTTCCTGTTACTCATTGTTTAATATAATAGAATTCACAAAGTTAAAATTAATAATTCATCAATAGAAATATTCTAAAGAATAAACGTGGGAAAGACCCATGTTTGTGAGCTTTGATGACAAAATTAGTCATATGCTCCGAGGGCTGCTTCCCATTTGCATAGTCATCTGCAGAGAAAGCCTGGCTAGACAAAAACTTTCACCAGAGCTCAGTGTTTTGCAGAACAATGTGTTTAAAATTATCAACCACATTAAACTATGTGTCCTTAATTCACATCTGTTTGTGCAGCTCTGTAAGGAGATGGAAACAGAACACACACGTCCTCTCTGACACACAGCGTGTTATGGCTTCCCACAGTGCCCAGCTGGAGGCCAAGCCTGTGACACAAGGACCTGGGGGCACACCAGTGCAAACTACATCAAAGGCGTGCAGTGCTCCGGGGACTTTGGCTCACGCACCCTGCATTGAAAGTGGTGCGAATGTTTTCCTCCGGGATGTGCGTTAGACCTGGACATGCACAAATCTCTTTCCCACAAGGCAAAGGTGATTTCGCTGCGTTCTTGGAGATGCACTTTGCTGCTACATTTCCAGCTAGGCGGAGGGAGCGACAGGGTACACGCCAGCCCTTCCCAGGTCGTGGTACCTGTATGACACAGGGACTGAGCTGTTAAGCCCACCTGGGTGTGAGGTGCCAGCCACCATGCCCACCTGCCCACTGCTAGACACTGACATTTCTGAAACCCACTCCAGCCACCCTGGGAAGTACTAGATTCAAGGAGCAGAAAACGGAGGAAAAGAAAAATTTTGTGTCTTACTTGTCTGATTTGCAGAGTCACTTGTTGCTTGGGTTTTGGCTAAATGCAGAGGGGGACACAGTGCCACCACCCACAGAGGGCATTCAAGGCTGCCACCGGGAGGCCCTCTGCCTTCGTGTCCACAGATCTGCTGTCCTCATCCCGTGCAGAGTCACCCTCCCCTTTGCTGGCCTAAAAGCGTTAGTTCCAAAGTGGGCAAGGCTTGAACTAGGAACCACAACAATGATTCCACTGAACCGGAAGCTGGGTTTTCCCTGGTCACTGTGGCCTCCTGTTTCTCTGAGGAAACAAGCTAAACAGCGAGTCACAATGTGGCCAGGGGTGATTGAGCCAGACTGCCAAAGAGAAACTGAACTCTTACTCCACGATGGAGTACAAGAGCTCCCTTAGGGCGCCTCTTAGAATTACCATGCCCTGTTACTAGATTCAGTGGAAAACTACAACCACCCAATCCAGGCAGAGTGACAGGTGGTCCAGAGCCTTCAGGAATGAAGGAATGGGTCACTCCAAAAATGGAAAGATCCAAGATCTGCTGAGGTGCTTGCTGAAGGCCAAGGGAATACACAATGGGTGGTGGTGGGGGAAGCTAGTTCTACACCAGCTGTGACCTCATGATCGGCTACAGAAGGCTGTAAATGTACGATATCTCTCCCAATTCGGTTCTAATGTAATGCTGATATATCCAGTACTGGCTCTTAAGGATTGTTAGCTCTGTGTTGTAATGTTCAAAGAGTAAGCATCACCCAAAGAAAATTTACCTTCTGTCCTGGGGAGGGAATTAGTACATTTTTGTTTGTACACGAGACAGTTATAACATGTTAAGAGTAATTTGAGTGGGCATTTTTATCTGACAACAGTTTAAAAACAGTGTCTGGTTGCCAAATGGATGTGGGCTGGACTGTAACAGTGGATTGACTGTGTCAACTTGAGGAGTTCAGAAGCTTGCTGAATCAGCTCAGTAATTCCACACCCTAGGGTGTAGAGGACCCACCCTAGAGCAGCTTGTCACCTGGATGGTACAAAGGGGAAACGAGGAACGACAGGTCTGTTACTACTCTTTGAAGAAGCTCCAGTCTTCACCTTCAGCTTGGACATCATCTCCTGGCTTCTATCGCAGACCCATCAGACTCCTCATATGGACTTGCACGGAACACTGCAGTGAACCTTGGGTCTCCAACACGCAGACACCCTCAACTCTTCCTCATCTGACTCGGAGGGTGACCATTGTAAGCCTTTCTTATACATCTGGATATTTCGTGTTACACCTGTTTCTCCAGTAAAACACTGACTGATACAGAATAGGAGCATGTTACTGATGATCTGCAGGCCATTCCCGCCCCTGTCCCT